CTTATAATTAATATAAATTTTTAAAATTTTATAATCTTAAAATAAGAACAATTTCTTTGTAATATATATATCACACAGTATCACATATAGTATCACACAAATTACAAACTGTAAATAAGATAGCTCACGAAGTACACTCTTCACAAGCGTAATCAATTAATGACTGCTGGCCGGTAGACTGAGTAGGTCCCCTATCCCCACCACATCCATTTAAACCTATGTCCACGCATGCGTAAAATCAAGCGTCACAGACGACGCATCTGAATATAGCTGTGCAGCTGTCTATATTATGTGTAATTTCATAAACTGACTGAAAAAAAACATGCATATTATAAAAGGAATTAAGGAAGTTCGTCGAAATTGGATACAATATAAAGACAAAATTTAAAAAGTTCATACTTTGGATATTTTATTAAAATATACATTTCATCCAAAATACAAAAAGAAAAGATTTATATACAATTATGTTTCGAAGATTCTGCGCAATAATGATAATAACAATGGTTATAGCAATAATAATGATACAATAATTGTAGTATAGTTAACATATTCGCAATTTCTTAAAAATTTCACGCACAACTCAATAAAAAATTTTTAAAGATTCGCGTATACGAACACGCGTGATCCAAACAAACGATTCCTCATTTTTATCTCAATATTTTCCTTTTCCTTTTTTGACAAAATAAAATTTCTTTTTTAGATCTTTAAAGATCTTTGTTTTTTCAATACCGATAAATATTAGCAAAATATCCTGCTATTTAGTAGAATAAAATCTATTATTGCCGAGCACAGTATACGATGTACTTAACAATGGAATTCGAAATCCGGTCACCATATACCTTTATTAAGAACTTCAAAACATTTATACAATTCAAGAGAGCATTTATACCCGTAATGCATTAAGAATTACTGAATTTAATTAAAATTACGTTCGCATTTGAGACTTTATGACAGTTCACATGATATGTATTAAATCATTTTTTAATTTTGTACTTTTCGTTTTTTGTCTTATCTTGTTTAAATTGTCTCCTGCTAAAGTTTTATGTAATTAGGCTGTTGAAAAGCTTTGAAAGCATCAATAAATTATTCATGAAAAATTAACCAAAATTCAATTGCATATAGTGATATGTGTTTTACAATATGAATGATTTTTTTCACTAATCTTAATTTTATATATTAAATTCTCTTTGATTCTCCATGCATGTAACATGTTTTAAATATTTCGAAGCTTTTACAAGATAGTATTTATTGCATTATTGATTTGTAGATCATTTATTTATAAAATATTTATATGTATCATTTCTTTCAATATATATATTTATATATGCTTTCTTTTTCACCTAACAGCAAGAGATAATGAATTCAAAAGAGTTTCTAATAGTCAATAAATATTTAAAAATTTGAATAATTTAAATCTTCTTTGGCAATGTTTGCCTAAATGGTGACCTTATTATTAATTTTTATTCATTTCTTAATTATAAAGTCATTTATTCGCTAATAATCTATACATACACTTGTAAAATTTACATTATGACATTTTTAGATGTTTCTGAAATTAATCATTCTTTTC